ATACTGGACCTGAAGAACACTTGGCCACAAAAAACCAATAAGGCCTCACTAAGACCTTAACTCTGTCTAATTTCCTTAATTTCAGCTATTTTTTATAAATATCTGTAAGAGCCACCAAGTAATTTAATATTTTATAGCTAAGAATTTCCATCATGATAGACCAAATAAGGGAACTTTAGAACTGCCATTGAAAAAGTATTTTCTTTGCTGTATTTCACCATTCATGTTTGAAAAGCTTTCTCTTTATATATCCTTACTGGAGCTCCAGAAATACTTCTGGTTTATAGTTGCCTAATTCATGAATTGCTATTTGTTGGAATAAACTTTAAAATGTGAAGGTACCTCGGTTTACTCTGAAATACTTCCGATATTTCTGATATAAATATGAATTAAGATAAAAAGATATTTGCTTTGTATTTAAATATACACTAAACTTAATAATAATTTAAAAATATGACATACAGAGCACATATGAATCCCAAAATACATTTATTAAAACAAAGTATTTGAATAAACCTCATACTGTAATCATGGCATGTGGTTTTACTCCTCTCATCTCAAATTCTAAAGACTCTAGAGTTATAAGGGTTAGTCTCTTCTCCAATTTAAACCGAATGATATTATGTGGTCCTTTCAAACTTTAAACCTCTTCCCCCACTATTAAACTGCATTTTCTTAGTTATCTGCTTAGGGAACAATTAGGGACCAAGAGAATCATTTTGACCTTCCATCAATTTTAGAACAATACACGTAGTAACACTGAACATCAGTGAACCTGTTTCACATACCTGCCACTTCTGTGAATGTACGTTTAATCTAAATCTAAGTTGTAGAAATGATAAATAATTACTTGCTATTTTAGACCCATTATAAAATGTATCTAAGCAAAGGAAATCAAGAACTGCTGTAAGTGAAGTAATAGATATGCTAATTAGCTTGATTGTAGCAATCATTTCATGGCATGTATATATCTCCAAACATGGCTAGATCTTAAGTACAAGCCAATTATACTCAATAAAAAGTACAAAAAATACTAAGCACTAACAAAACAATATAAACTGTAATTTTTGGTATGTCTTAAAAATATTTAATGCTTGGGGGTATTACTTTCATGGATCCTTTTCCAATGAGTCAATAGAAGTTGCAAGAGTGTAACCAAATGACTAATGAATAAATGAATACAAGAAACATGCTCAACTTCATTAGCTATGAAGGAAAAGCAGCGAAACACAATGCCATAAGTTTATCAGGATGACTAATATTAAACAGAATGACCAATGCAAGAAGTGAAGTTTAAATGAAAAGCAGAAAGCACAAATGAGGCAACAATGCATGATTCCAATAATATTAAGTTAAAAACAGGTTAAAGTAAGTCTATGCTATTAGACATTAGGTCAGCATTGCCACTGGAAAGAAAGCAGAATATGGAAGGATCTATGGGGAATACAGAAGGAGGCATGTAGGAAGCAAGTCCTGTTCCATTTATTGAACTACCTGAAGATTTCATTTGTATGTTCACTACATATACTATACTGTTTGTAGATTATATGTAAAAGCTTCCTAAATTTTAAAAACAATACTGTCATATAAAATTATTGCCCTTTTAAATGGTAAATTCTGTGTATATGTGATTTAACTCATATAACTATACTGTCATTTTGTAAATGAGCGGCAAGTGAGGCATGCACAAGTTAAACAACATGCCCAGCGTACTACAACTGTAAGTGGGAAGGACAGGATTAAACCCATACTCAGGATCCAGAGGCTCACTCAGAAAAGTTTCACCCTTATACTAATCTTTGGTGCTAGTATAGCATAATTCTTTAAGGGTATCTAAAGAGCTCTAAAACCATGACTTTAAAATTGGATGTCAATCAGGAAGATCAGTCAAATCGAGCAGGGTATTTTCCCTAATGCGAATCATTTACTATTGGTTTTCAAAATTAGGCCTACAGAAAGCAATAGATTTGTTTTGACTTCAGTTAACAGGGTAGAGGGTATTAGATGTGTGCCAACTGCCTCTTGTTTTTATTAATGTACATAAGATTCTCCTGCTGGGGATATAGCTCAGCAGCACAGCGCCTGCCTGGGAAGCGTGAGGTTATGAGTTTGATCCCCAGTACCCAAAAAACAAATATGAAAATAAACAAACAAAACCCCCACAAAATAATCCTGATATTTTGTATCCCTAGGAATTCTAGGTTGAAAATTAAAATCACAAGCCTAAGAATAACTTTAAAAAAAAAAAGACTACAAGATAAGATTCTATATAGTGCTTTTCCTTTAAATGTGTTCAAATTCCTAACACTCACTACAAAACCCTACTTGTATTTCTTTCTTATTTTGTGCCATTTTTACTCCCTATGAATTTAAGGATGTTAGTGATTATGATTCTGTAAATCAAAATGAAGTAGATCAGATCTGTTCTACATCAGCAGAACAAATTTTATTACCTTTCTCTCATATCAAGCTCAGCTGGAAAATAGGAGAATTATAAAATATTTAATGATATACTTCATGTGAATCCAGTTTAGGAAGTGCACTCTTTTGAAAAGACACTCATTTTAGTGTGATAGAGGAATTTTGTTTTATATATTATAAAGGAATAAGAAATACTTTCATTATAAGGATGTTTGTGTTAGATTCAAGTGAAAATCAGCATTTGGGTTTTGTAAGCGTACAAAAGAAATACAAATTTCAGCTCTTTGACTGCAATATAAGTGAAAATATGTCAGTATGAAATATTATTCTAGAATGATTCAGTGTTTGTTACCTGATCAATAGTATATGTTGTATATATGATAAACAATTGGTTGATTATTGATTAAAGTATCAGTTGACTTAAGTTTACTACTAACAGGTCTTTTATAATTTTGAGTTTTGGTGTATTCAACTAATTTTTTTCTCTAACAAGAAAACCAATAACTTCGAAATAATTAGCTTGAGCTCTTGGGAACCTGTACCTCTGGGCAGGCAGATAGGGTTCTACTTAATGTAATTACTGCCAGAACTACAAGCAGTTGCCTTGCAAAACCAAATCAAATCATCTGTACTATTTTTTAGATTCTGGGCTCTGAATTGTGTGAAACAATGCCAGCATTGAAAATACCCATTACATTTCCATGCTTTTTAACTGGGTATGAAATTTCAAGATTTGGAAAATGTACTGTGAGATGAGCTATGCATTCATTTTCCTGATATAGCATGAGAAAAATAACTCCCACATACCTTTATCTACCCAAATGACAGCCAATCTCAAAAAAGTTTAAATACTCCAAGGACTTGAAAATATTCCATAAAGCAAAGCCAAAATTTCTGAAGTGGATGTTTAAAAAAACAATAAGGAAAATGGTTCTGCAAGTGGAATTTTCGTCCCACTATAGTCTGCATTTTTACAAAGTTAAAATTCAAGATCAACCACTAAGAAAAGATATTTCAAAGAAAACCCTATGATTGTCCTGGTAGATTTAATCCCTTGATGGCTCTCTGTTAACAGCAATGAATTTCAGCAGATGCTAAAAGGTAAGTGTTTTATTGCAGTCACCTGTCCTCCGGGTACTCTGTGTTTCAAACAACTAGAAAAGCTGTGTGTATTTACAGATTTCAATTAGTTTGGGAATCTCTGGGAGGAAAATGATTCTTCTCTTAGAAAGAAATAGGAAGAAAGGATAAAGGAATTAATAAATGATACGGGAGTGACTGATAATGGTTCTACCTTTGGGTGAAATGTGCTTATACAAAGAAAAAAGATCTACAAATACAGTTTTTCATGGCTGAAGATAAGGAGCTAATCATATATTATCATTTACTCTGTAAATCAGAATAAAAGAGTTAGCATAAATGTAAGGTAAATCACACTTAGTAAAACTCTTAAGAAAAGACAAGCATACTACCGACAGAGAACAAAATTTTATCCATGCAAACTAAAACAAGACTACTGTCAATGTATTTATTAATGGACAGCTTCCAAATTAAGTTCAGACTACATTTGAGGTGACAACTCTGGTATGATATTGTTCATGATTTTCTGACTGGCAGTTCAGATTTCCAATGTCTTCAAATATTTTAGTAAACAAGAAAAATTTTTTAAAACTCTAACATTGACTCTCAAAGTTTAGTATCAAATTTCTAAGAAACATATCTACCTCATAGATGTTAAAAATATTAAATGAGAAGCATGTACATCACCTTACTCAAAAACTAGATTTTCTATATAATAAGCATCCATTTAAACGTTATCATAGACAACCTAATAGAGTTGAAACAAAGCAAACTGATATTTGAACTGGTATTTAGTAAATGTGGTTACTAAACTGATCAAATATTTCTTGAATGCCTATAATGTACCTGCCATAGCTATAGTAGCTATATCCTAGTCAGTTGCATTCTAGTTAAGAAGAAAAGATGTATATGAAGCAAGAATGGAAAAATATAACTATCCAGTTATTTACTACTTAGTGCATATGTTAAAAACTGTAATGGTCAAAGATGAAAATTAAACAGCATACAGAAGCAGGTAAGGCCATTATTTCACTCATATATTATATAGAGTAAAACAAGATCCTAAAATCCTACAAATTTCCAGTTTTACAGTGTTATCTTCAGCATTGTTAGGGAAGGACACAGGACTAGTGGAGTCAGTGTACTCAAATTACATTTCATGCCAACCAATGCTACACTGCTTGACAGACTGTATCTTTTTTATTTCCTTCCACCTCCCAAGACTTTGCAAGTACAGTTTCTGAAACAAATTTTTCTTTCTTACTGAGGATCAAACTCAGGACTTCATGCTTGCCTGAAACAAGATCTTGGCTGCTTACAAGCTTTTCACCCAAGATGGGCATTACATTACTCTGTACTGCAAGACCAGATGGCAGGATTTCCACCTAAGGCTCCAAAGCATACATGTCAGTTTATTTATTTTCAGCAGTAGGACATAGGCAGTTTTTAATGATAAGGAATTAGAACACAGCCAAACTCCCTACAAAGAGAGAGTTTACCTTAGGATCTGATGTGAGCAACTTGAATGCGTGATACACTTGAGATTCCTTTACACCACCTCCCAGATCCAGGAAGTTAGCTGGCTTCCCACCATTTAAGAAGATAATGTCACAAGTAGCCATGGCCAGTCCTGCACCATTCACTATGGAATGCAAACAGCATATAAAACAAGGTAAATTTAGCAAAAAGGAAAGATACATAAACATTCTCCATCTCCAGCATCACCAAAAAGAGCTTTGTAATTCTCAGGCCATTTTCTACCCTGTTTGCAATTCAGTTCAACCAGGTAAGTGCATACACTTTTATGATAACGAATCAGGAAATGTGCAAACAAAGAATAAAGAACAAAAATGTAGAGATAAGAAGGATTTATTGAGATGTTAAATTTATCTAGGAAACACAGAAAAGAAAAGTTAAGGAAGTAAATTTGGGCTAGTAATAAAGAGCAAGTGTTAGGTTCTGGAAAGCCTAAGTTTAAGAGAATTCAAAAACACGAATGAAAAAGCTATGGGAAGTTGGACTTTAATAAGTGACTTCAGGAAAAAGAAGAATTAAAGGTTTTTTTGCTTGCCAAAACTATCCACCTTTGAAAGTGGCACCCCTCTGGGATTGAACCACAGGATCCTAATTTCAATAGAGGCCCATACTATTTCACACTTGGTGTAACTATACATATTTATATGATGTTATCCAGATAAACTCAGAAATCAAATAACCAAGTGATACTACAATTTCTCCATCCCTTTCTTCTTCTTCTTAATTGTAAGAAATGTAAATTAGCAGCCCAATTTTGAAATTTAGAACCAAAAAATATCAACATCATTACAGTTTTTCTTAAAAAATCAAACAAGATGTTTGACATTGAAATTCTTATTTTCTAGAGCTAAGTTTTATTAATAAATTTGTACTTCTTTTGCTTCTTATGCTTAATTTTATGGAATGACTTTTCTCAGTTTGGAAGGCCAAAAACAAACAAAACTTTCTTAAGACAATAAAAATTCTCTAGGTAAAATACCCTTTATTTTTTTCTGAGCCTTGAATTTTCCAGATAAGTTTATGAACTGTGGTTAAATTAATTATGTCTCGACCAACTAAAATAAAAATGGCTTACATAAGATCTTAAAACAACGTGAAATAGGTTAATCATAATTTCTGAAAATGCTACATGGCCAAATTATTCATAGTTCAAAACAGGCTTTAAAGACTCTGAATTTAATTTGTTTTAAACACACCATTATATCTTTTTGCTTTTCAAATGCCTATAAATATTGAGAGTACATTGGCATATCAACATCAGAATGATGTGAGTGATCTGGTACATTTAGTTACTGCTCCAATACAAAGCAAGAGCTTTAACTGGATGTCATTTTCTATTGTATTAAATAGAAAATTATTGGATGAGGTTTCTTCAGTCCTAAATATAATGATACTATTGGCTTAATGAGTAACAAATCTTTTTTATTTTAATTCCATTAAGATGAAGTCCTTAGTTTCCAGTACAATGGATTATTTCTATCAGAAACAGTCTTATACAATTAAGTCAGGGATATATAAATCTCAGCACTATAAGCTATGGACAATAACTGAAATTGTATTGCCTCTACATACCCATTCTTATCTTGGCTGAATAAGCCATTTTCACAAATCTAGATGGGTATGATGGAATCAATTGTTTATGAATAAAATGAAGTATGAAATCTGAAATATTAGTAAAATTATTAAAGTTTATGCCCTCTTTTCCTTCACCTGAAAAAGCAATTTTGTTTTAAACTCAGATACCACAATAGTTCGTATCACATTAACACTGATTTGGGTAGTAAAGATTCTGAGATTTACTAAACGAAGTTTAACTGAGACGTGTTAAATCAATGGTCCCCAACTGGGGTAATTTTATGTACCACATACATTTGGAAATGTTTGGAGACTTGTTTTATTTTCAAAATTGGTGACTGTTAGTAGCATCTAGAGGTCAAGAATGCTACTAAATATAATGTCTAGGACAGACTCCTACAGCAAAAGAATTCTACCCAAAATCTCAATAGTACCAGAATCAAGAAATTGCTTTCAACCAGTGACCACCAGTAAAAATGAAATTTGAAAAAAAAACTGGACTATTTTCAAAAACTGTTCAGCTATAAAAATCTCACATTTATTTGTTACTATTAAATAGCATTTCAGTAATCTAATGCTGATAAATTCTGTAAAAACACCTTCAATATCAATGCTTACCAAAGCAGGCAATGTTTCCATCCAGTCCTATGTATTTTAAATCATATCTGGCAGCTTCATTTTCAATGGGCTCATTCTCTGATTTGTCATCCATAGCAAATATCTCCTTTTGTCGGAATTCAGCATTGTCATCAAAATTTATCTTGGCATCAAAACATACAACTAAATAAAAAAAGGAATACAGATATATATTTTTAATTAAATTCTCCTGGGTGGCAGGCCCAGGAAAAAGGCCAGATATTTTATTTTTCTTCATGCTATATGCAGGAGAAATTGTTGTGGTTTTCTTGACCTTTGAATTTCAAAGTTAGAGAGACAAATAGAACGTGGTTTCTATTCTCAAGAGATTTATTCCAGTAAAGAGCATAGTAATTTATATCTTTTGGCTGGTATTCACAAGAATAGCACAAAAAACTGTCATTACCCATATTAAAAGCTAGATTGGCATAACTATATGAAGTTTTAATTAGCTGCTGCTACCACATACTGTATTTTTAGTATTTAACTGCTGATTATGGCTTTTCTCTTCTCTATAGAGATATTAACACTAATCTTTTGTCTTTTTCTTTCATTCAGACATTGCAAAATGAAATTTTATCAGCATCCTCTTAATAGTTCTACAAGATATAATACAAAAAATACAGAACCCCATTATTTTCTAATCCTTAATTCTGGACGTTTTTTAAAAATAAAGCTTGAATATACTTAAGAAATACAACATGTTTTGCTATATACATATTATTGGAACTATTACTATAGAGAGACAAATCAACATTATCTGTGCCCTTAGTTTCTTTTCTTGTCCTTCTACCTTTTTCCATTTCTCTTTCTCATTCCCCTCCCTCCCTTGAGCACTTGAAATCTATTCTCTCAGCATTCTTCAGTATACATTACTAATTCTGTAACCTGGTTTAAAAACAAAAACAAAAACAAAACCCTATTATCTTGTTCATGGGCTTTGATTTTTTCTATTTGAAAACAGTAACAATCCTTAGTTTACTAATTTATTTGATTAAGGATATGCTAAAATTAGAACCAGATCTTCAATTTTTGCAGCTCTATTTTATGATTTCTTTAATTCAAGTTTTAAAACACTAAGAGACTAAGACTGGTTGGACCAAAGCTAAGGTACCAGGCACCTTGGCACTATGGTACCCATCCTTGCTGTTGGTGAAGCTCTTCACATCTATTGCAGGAGCAAAAGTATTTACATGATAGGGATGGATGACAGGGTACCATCCTGAATTTACAGGAGCTGTTTTATAAGGATAAACAGGAAATGACAGCAAACGGAAGAGAAGTTATGCTGGTATCTGGGTCCAGCCTATCTTACTGTCTCCCTTAAAATAGAAACTTGTGCTCTGTGATGCCATGCCATTGAGATATTCCTCTATTTAACCTGAAGTACTGGTAAGCAGGTATTTTGGGCCAGACTTACTAAGGTAATCCCTCCAGCACTGTTGATAAGTACCAAATTCTCAAAACAGAAACAGTCACTGTAGATTAATAGCTCACTGAAAAGTAATAGCCATAATCTGCTAATTCTACTTGCTTCCAAGAAAAATATCTTTGGGTTATGGCATCTATACATATATATATAGCAAAACACGTCCAGGTAGAGGGTTCTCTAAACTTTTCCCTACAAAAGCATTCAAACATTTTGCTATAAATCTGCATACAACTACATGTAACATTTAAGAAGACTTGGAATAAATACAAATCCAGACCACAAATTACTTTTAAATATCCACTGACTGACAAGAGAAGATCTTACATGTAACCTAATATTGGCTCAAGACTTTTGTCTTACCACAAAATGCCCAACCACTCTGCCCACACAGTGTGAATACATGGAGTGAATAAGTAATTACTTTCCAGAATACTAAAATCATAATGATGGAATTCTACAATTATCAAAGGAATTAGCCAATATTCTCTGCTTACTGCAATGGCATTTTCTCAGCAGTTAATGATCAGTGTAATAATCAATAGAAAAGCAACTTCATTCTTGGTTTTCCACTAGGTTTATAAATACATTCTAATTATTTATTAGTAATTTCAACTCCTCCATTACTCACTGGGAAGAGCATTTGTAACTGACACGTTCAAAATGAATGGGCCAAGGCTATCAAATTGACTAAGAGAAGAGTTCCAAATAAAAGAATTCTTGGTCAAGATCAATAAACCAGTAAATCAAGATATTTCCGAATTAATCTTTGCCCCTTACAAAGACTACAGTTACAAGCTGCTTGAGAGAGAGGATAATTAATGGATATGTATGCAAAGTGCAAAAAGCAGTCTTATTAAATGATTGCAAAGCTCAATTTCAAGATACATTCCTGCCATAAGCCATGTATGCCAAACCAGAAATTAGTTCACTATTTGGTGACTACCCTGAGAGAACCCAATAGTTAACCCAGACCATGAGGAGAAAGACAGTGGGATAAAAGGAATGTGTTCCTATAATGGTTTCTTGGCAAACTTCTCTCTTGCTAGACAAAACTGAAAAACATAGGTCAATGCACATAATTCTAAAAATTTTGGTAAGATAAAGTTATTGCATAAAAGTGAACTTAAGAAACAAAGTGGCCCAAAACCAAACTACCATTTTCTTTTTTCTATCTTTCTTTTTTTTTTTTTTTGTCTTGACACAAGTTCTCAAAATGCAATTCAGACTAGCCTTGAGCTCACTTTGTAGCCCAGGCTAGTCTCAAACTTGCAATGAGCCTTCTGCCTCAACCTCCCCAGTGCTAGATTATAGGCATGTGCCACTATGCTTGGCCAAACGATCATTTTCAAAGCTCTTATTTTTTTTATTTTGAAGGGAAGAAGAAAAAAGCACTTTAAAGGCATTAGGGATTCTCTTAGATGAATATTTACTATAGTTGATTAGTATTTGTCTGGGATACTGAAATTTACGATAAAAATTTTTATTTTGGTGTCCATCTTTAACTCTTGGGATGGAGATCCTTAAACTTGACACATCCTGAACAACGGGAGTACTAAATCTTTTGGTCTAATATTTGGGCTCCAATTGTGATAGCTGAGACAGAACTCCTAATCCCTTGAATTTCCTGGGAGACACAAGAATCTTTTGTTCAGATAAAAATGACTCTTGGTGGGCTCCAGAATGAGAGCTGGTCAGCAGATAGAAAGTTATGGTGAGAAACTTAGGAACTCCTGTCCTCTAGGAAGCAGAGAGAGTGTGAAGAATGATTGAACAATGGATCATTCCATGTAACAAAGTCTCCATGAAATCCCTGAACTCCAGGGTTTAAACAGCTTCCAAGATACTGAATATATGAAGGTGCTAGAAAGCTGGCTTGCGTGGAGAGGGCATAGAAGTCCCTCATCCGATCTCATATACCTCATTTGTCCATTTGTTTATATCCTTTAAAAGAGCTTAGGTAGTAAGTGGTAATAGTAAATAATGTGTTTGCCACAGTTCTAGCAAATGATAAAGGAGGTTTTAGGAACTCCCAATTTATAACCAATTGGTCAGAAGTATCAGAATCTTAGGGGATTCTTGTAGGACCGCGCCCCTCAATAAGTAGGATCTGATTCTAATTACAGGTAGTGTAAAAACTGAAATGAATCACAGGATACCTAGTCATTTGCAGAAAATTGATCAATGAAGAAACATTCACATGACTAGTCACAGAAATGTGCTGAGTTTTCTATGCGGAAAAAAACCCTTCTTTGTTTTTTCCCATTATACATAGTTCAGGGAGGCTTTCTGGCCTTTCGCTGTGGTCTACAATGCTGCATTGCCTAAATGTCTTTCCTTGAACTTGACCACTTAATATGGATTCTGGCACCAAAACATCTGGGTATGAATTTGTGGTACTTCCTTACCAACTAGCCTGGGCATATAACTTCTCTTAAACCCAGTGACTTTGTCTGGAAGTTGGGGCTCAGAGTAATGTCTACCCTACAGCGTTTCTAGGAGGACAGACTGTTTGCAAAGGATTTAGCCTCATGGAGAGGAAGCTCTCACTTGCTATTACTACTACTGTCCCCATTCTCCTGCAGACATGTTCTTGTTTCATACTTAGAGCTGCTCATTTTGACTGCTCAGTCTGTAGAACTATCTTCCTGTTATGGAAAGTTACTTATGGTTTTTCTCATTCCCCTAATAATGCTAGACTTCTGTTTAGACTAAATATTAATGAATGCCTACAGGAGTTTTCATAAATACAGATGTAACTATGGTATTCAGTAAAGCCATTTCTCAAATACATTAAGAATTGTCCCAAGAGAAGAATTTTAATGGCTGGCGTGTTGAGAATCCTAATTGACAGAAAGAGAATTTTTGGCTGAAGAATGATGTAAAACAGAGGCCACTGGTTAAATACATCACACTTATCCATAATGATTGGTACAAAAAAGCCACACAGGAAGACCTGAGCCAAGGATGGAAGAGTACGTCCCTTGGGCCAGCTCATTGCCTCTTCTTATAGCTACAGTTTTACTGAAATGCAGCCATGTATACTGTTTACATATCAGCTATGCTATCTGCCCAAAACAATACCAAGGATGTGTAAGTCCAAAAGAGACCAAGACCTCCAAAATAATTATTAACTTGCCTTTTACATAAAAATTTTGCCAACCCTTGCCAAGTCACAATTGTGACCATGGTTTTGTCCTGTTTTAGCCAAATGAGAAAGATAAAATAGTCAAAGGTAATAGATGTTTTATAGGCAATTAAACACTCAGAAAAAGTTCATTCCCCTAACATGAAACTAAAAACGTGTAACAAACAAAAATTACACAAAACAGTAGGTAATCTTTGCATACCGACTTTTATTTTCCCCCTGTAACATCCATCCAGTGCACTTCAGAACTGATGTGTTAAAAACAGACTGATGTAAATGTCAACAGTAGGACAATAAAATAAACTTGCCTGCTAAACTTCAGTTTTTTCATTTACTAAAACAACTGTGCTAAAATAAATAGTTTTGGAGGTGCTGAGCTTGGTTCAGACACTAAGGTTTTCAAAGTCATGTTAATGAAACCCCAATTTTATAGAAACTTCGTCTTGAACAAAGGCCATTTTGTGTATAAAGTGGGCGAAAAAATTACCTATTAATATTTATAAAACAATTTTCACCATCAAAAGCACATTGTTACATGCTTGATAGATTATACAAATGAATTTTCCTTCTGAACAAATATCAAAGAAAACTAAGGTAGTTATATTCAGAGGGTGTTTTGTTGTTTTGTTTAGTGGTGTGAGATTCTGTAAGCTGCTAATTCAACCATCTCCATGCAGAACATGCCTGGCAGTTAGAGGCCTCTGACCCAAGAGTTTTAACAGAAGAATGTGCCACAGAGTTAAACAAAAGAAAAATACATTTCAGAGGGGAGACATACACATAAAAGAAACATAAAAACAGCAGGAAATAAGACTGTCATAATTAGTTTGAAAAATAATCTGTCTTCAAGCAATGTGCTGCATTTGATTTGTGATAAATAACCATAATGTGCTATTGAAACATGCCTTGCCAAGATGGCCTTAAAATGCTGATACTTTAAAATTAGTCCCACTTTCCATTAAATATTGATGATTCAAAAGTTGTACACTTTTAAAAAGTTTTCTTGAGTTGCTAGGAAAAGAGAAAATAGATATGAGGCAGGCAGAGAAATGGGGGAGGGAGAGAGCTGAAAATGTCTTGAAAATAGTCCTGAGGATGAAGAGAGAAACAGAGAAACACCCACCTACAACATGGGCACTTACTAACACAAAGTAATGGTGGTTATTTAGAGACATCAATCTGAAGAAGGAAGGAATTTGGTATGCCAGTTAACTCTGGATCACTCAGACTTAATTCTCAAGGAATCTTGACAACACAGTCATAGCTGCAAATTGGGTCTCATTTCTTTAGCTCAATGAATGGATCTGAGCTCCAGTGATGAAGATGCCTTAAGGCAGGAATTCTCAATCCCTGGACTACAGAAAGTTTGTGTAAGATCACGCTTCGCTGTCAAGGATCATGTTGTGTACTCTCTGGTCTCTACTCACTGGGTGCCAACAGCATTAACCATAGGTTGTAACAATTAAAAATGTCCTCAAGTTGCCAAATTCTCCTGGCATACATAATGCTTGTTCTTTAAGAACTCCCTGCTTTCAAGAGAACCAAAAAAGGAGTCTGTGTAGACAGGTTGAGTGACAAAAGGAAATGAAATACATATGTAAAAACCCCACAACAGCTTGCAAAACACGTGAATGAATGGATGGGTGCGTGAATAGGTAGACAAAAAAACTACAATAATAAAACAGTGTCTCACTTGACCACAAGTTTAATGAATTAATTTGGCACTGTAATTGAACAGGCAGGGAAAACACAGCTATCTTCCCCTTGACTATTCACCTAAGAGTTTACTTGTCTTTCTGTGAACGTTGGGTAATCCTGATAGTTGTGTTTTGGTTCTGGGTTACTTCTACCCTTGAGAGACAGTGCCTCTTCTATACCATGTGGTCCTCACTCAGTCATGGCTTAGGCATAGAAATGGGAATTAAGTATGGCAGATAAAAACATTGCAGAGGGGCTTCTGTAACCTGCAGGAGGAAAAGAGTAAGCACATCTGTGCTGCCAAGTGTCAAGATGCTGGTTGAGGGAGGTCAGTCTGTAGCAGGCAGAGCCAGGAGATCAGAGACTCCCAGCAGTCTTTAGGCTTACAGCTAGTCCACACTCAAGACTTCCTCAGTTTTATAAGTAAAACAAGTGCCTTACCTCACCTGCAGGAACTTTAAAACAAAAACTAAGCCAAGAGTAATAGGTTTCTGTCACTATAATCCTAGCTATGAGTTACTACTACATTACAGTTAGTAGAGTCAAATTATATTCTTTAAACCACATCACTCTACAGACAGCAGTTCTTTCTCCATGTCAAATATTCCCCAAGGGTAACTCAGCAGTTTAGATGTTATCAAGGTCTTTGCTCTCCATTCAACTGGTAATTCTAGAAATACATGACCATTGTGCTGAGTTTTTAAAAAAAATGTTCCTCACTGAAATAGAAGACTGAAGAAATTCTCCTACAAAGAGATAGTGCAATGAAAAGCTTTTAAGTAAAAAATGTTTGGTATGATGCAGAGTTCCTTATGCTTCTATATTATAAGCATAATTATTAAAGTTTCAATAGGGAAGTTTTAATACAAAATGGCTTGCTACTGGTGATCTAAAGGGAAATAATTTAAATATCCTGATTATAAATATAAAGATTATCCATATTTCTAACATATAAAAGACTATCCATATTTCTAACATATAAAAGACTTTCACTAGTTCCCAAATAAAGAATGGGAATTGCTTTAGGGGGTCCATGATAATGATGAAGATCAATTTTTCCATTTGGACATTAATCACCATTTCCTAATTGGGTTTAATTTGACTACTGTTCATTAGAGTTATAAACCAACACACTCATTTAATTGTGATTATAATTCCATAGCTGAACTTTTATGGTACAATGAACAAATTAATAGCTACAGATAATTTTGCTCTTAAAAATATCATGTTAGACTTCTGTTTAATGAACTGTATATACAGAATGTGTTTTGTGATGATTGCTTCAAAAAAATCAAGAATTATCTTTTCTCTTCATAATTAAAAAGTAAACATCAGAGCGCATAAGATTTTTAAACGTCTTCCAGGAAAAGGTTCCTTCACCTCCATTTCTTGTTGCCAGACACAGCTGGTGACTGATTACTTCCCAAAGGGTTGAATAAAAATAAAACTGTAGCCTGATTTTTCATCCACTTCATTGCTGATTTTACTTTTATTTTAAAATATGAAAATAGCCAGCCTGCACATGTATACTAGTTTGAAAAGCAATATATGACCTTTAAGAAATGTTATAATGAACTTGTCTTTCATTTCTTGATTTAATTATCAGTCACTAACTATAGCATGAATTTTGACTGGTATTCTCAAACTGGAGAATTCTCCTAGGTTACTCTGACGAAAGCAAACCAACAGTTTAAAAGGGAAATAAAAAGAAGACAGGTTGCTCTAGGTCAGTGTCACACATCAGAACCAACAGGATTCAGAGAGACATGGCCTCAAATCTAGCTCCTATATCTAGCTGCCTGTTGAGAAGTCACACTGAAAGTTCTATTCTCTACAAATGGGGACAATGACTCCTAACTTTGTATGGCTATAGTCAAGAATCCTGGCATATGAGTTCAAAAACCATTTTCTACTTCTTCCTTTCTTTCTATATAAAATACTGAAAGTTTTACAGCCATATCATTTAAAACATATTTCTTAATATAGGCAGTATGCATATGAATAAGACCTAACACAGATTTTATTCTGATGGTCATCTGTGTAAACTATACAATATTAAATTATTTTCAATGACTTTCTAAGTATGAACACTTTTCTGTTCCTTATCTCAAAAATACCTTTCTTGGACTATACTAAGAGGAATTTCATTTTATGGTACTTGCCTATTCTGTGTCAGATATTTAGTGTTTATATCTACACTATTTCATTTCATTTTTACAACCACTCTCTGACACAGGTATCATTTTTGTTAATTTGATTAAAAAAAGATATGAGAAAAGAAAATCTGAGCTCTAGGCAGGCTAAGTGTATAGGTCACAGTCAGAACATCACAGATCCAGAACTTGTACTCAACTCTGGGTTCCAAAGACATAATATTTTAGCTTTTTGAGTCCAAATAGAGAAACACTGTATATTTATTTTAGCCCACAACTTGGTATGTCTGCCCACAAATATTCACCCATTTATTGATTTAGTGGCAAATTTCAATTTCTTGACTGCTCACAACATGCTAGATAAGGACAAAGTGCATTTAAAAATAAAACATTCACAGAACGTGTATCCTGGTATCACCATGGGTAGAAGAAAACTTTCTCACAAAAATGTCACCTCCTCTTATTTAAAGCAGAAACTGCTAACCAAATGAAGACAGAACATTCAACTTTAAGGCAATAACGGTTCAAAGATGATGTATGCTAAATATACTACAGAAGATGACATCATACATAGATTTTAGGCAAATTAAAAAACTTCAGAAAGTTCTGGTTCCATAAAATCAGGTGTATTCACTACACCCAAGCATAGTCCCCACCCAAACTTTACACTCTATGAAGCAATAGTAGGCCTGAAAAATTGAGGATTCCGTGTATGTGGCTCTGTGTGTGCGAGCATGTGTGTGTGTTTGTGTGTGTACTTTAGGGGTGGGAGGATGTTTCAATATAAAACAAGAACTACCTTCCTCTTAGGCCTGGCATTTGGCTGCACACAAACCCAAGTGTAAAATGTTCAACTACCATCATGGGAGTATTTGAAACTAAGAAAGAAATAAAATTACTGAAAGAAATCAACACAAAGCTGCTATTGTAGTCTTTTGTGTAATTTAATGTACAGTTTGCATAAATAATTATATAGTCATTCGCCCATCCCCCATCCCCGCTCCCCCTCTTCCTCCTACTTTTTACCTTGTCCTTCTGGAGTCTCACCAAAGGGATTCACTTCCACCTGAGTAGCATCAATTTTCAGGAAGAGATTATACAGCTTCTTAATTTGATCTGCTGCCTAAATGTGATGAAGTGAAATAGAATTACATCAAAGCCGTAAAAGAAAATTTATTTTGTTCGATTAATGAAACCTTAAAAACAGAAAATTATGTCTTTATTTTCAGTTAGGTGTTCTGAAGGGCATAATTATTTTAATTTCCACTGCTATTCATTAGAAGGAATTGCTCAATCTTCCTCCAGATACCAGGAGAGACCATTATCAAGAAAAAAACAATATTTTCAGTACAGTCTAAAAATGTTATTAATCATGTGATTATCAAGTCCCTATTAGCCATGTTATACTGCAATACAAGCTACAATCACTAATACAAACAAACTCCATTTAAGTAAAAAGTAAACATGATTTTGAGAGTTTATAATGGCTAAGTTTTCCTTATTATGCTGGAATAAAAATTATATTAATCAATCCAAAAGCATAATCTGCAAAGCAAAAACAATTGCTGAGTGTCTAGTGGAAACTATTAGAGACAGAAAGATGAAAATCTTAAACAGTACAGTTCCAGAATAGTACAGTTTACACTGAAAACAGCTTTGTAGCAAAAGCGTAAGTCACAAAGGGCAAGACTATCCAAGGTTTCCTTAATATGGTGAGACTTCATTTTTTTCAGTCTGCTTAAAATTCACTCTCTCGTTTTTTCCAACCAACATTAATTCACTGCCACTCAAAGTAGAGGAATACTGTACAGGCTGTAGCTTGGGATGACAAGGTAAATAAAAGTTCACATTTAGAATGAACAGGACAAGCCTGTGTGCCATTATGGTTGAAGAGTGGGTATCAGTCTCACTCTTGGCTTCCATCTGTTTCCCAGCTGTGGTTCTCCCACTGCCACCTTTTGTTCATTGTGCCAGCTCTGAATTCCTGATCATCAGATTCACGGGGACCCTGCCACTCTGCTTTGTATGCAGGAGACTGGCTTATAGACTGAGTTTCCATGGTTGTTGCATGAGGTGGATGCTGGCTCAATTCAGCCAAGTGGAAGCAGTGGTTAAGAGACAGGAATGGGGAGAGAAAAACAAGGGTATTTCTACTCTACTCTTTCTGCTGGGCCAGCCTTCCCACTTCCAGCTATCGCTTCAACTATAAGCCCCCTCCCCCCAAAGCTCTGGTTTCAGTTTCAAAGGTTCAGTCACATAGCTGACTCTCTTTTTAGAGCATATGGGATTAGCTCTATGCCTCTGTGTGCCCAGAAGCCCTGCAGTTTTGGAGTTCCTATGTAACAAATCTCCTAAATTAAATCTCAAATGGGGTTAATACTGGAGGCAGTTCCACACTTCACAAAAGAACTTCTGTAGATTTCCTTCATGCTGCCTTAATGCATTTCATGTGTATTTGTAAATATTGTAAATATTGTTAAATTCTAAATTGAAACCAAGTATATCAACAAATAAATATCCTGAATGAGCAAGTCTAAGTATTTAATATTAAATATTCTTATGATTAGATAACACATAGTATAAATCTCCCTATGTGCAAAAGGTTTTCCTGTGAATGTGCCTGCCCTGTCTAGTCAGCCCCTCTGGACTCCCAGTAGCCATGTTACCAAGACTTGCTTGAACTGAGTGGTATTCTACATACATGCAAGTATTCTATGTACATGTATATTATTTTATTGTATTTTCATTTTGTTTCTTATCTTTTTGAGACAGGGTCTTGCTATTTTTTTTATTTTAAAGGGAAAAAAGCAATAAAAACAATGATAAAGAATTTCCAATAGGCGATTAACAATGGTTAATCTATTGTGTATTATCTTCAAAGGAGTTCCTCAGATTATGAAATGTGAAAAATTGATCAAATAATATAAACACAAACTGTTCTCTTCAGTGAAAGAACAGAAATTAGTAGAACAATTATCTATTTTGTGTGTATACTTTTTTCCTTCCTTCTTTTCTACTTTCTATCCCAGTTGTTCTTTCCTTTTGAGTGATTTCTTCCCCTTTCACAGTGTCTGTAGTATACATATTTTTATCCAAAACAAAATTAATTCTATACTTTGTTTCTTTACATAATAAATTTTAGATACCCTTCACTGACAATGTAAGTACATTAATATCTGGTCAATTTTATCATATGGTTGTGCCATAATTTTAACTGTCGCTAAATAATGGCCACTTGGACTGTTTCTAATAGTTTGATGTTATTTAAAATGCTGCTTTATCACTATATGTGTATTATATATGTGATTGACTATTTGTAAAGACCAGTTACTCAGAGTACACCAAAAAAGGGTTCAAACATTTTAAGTGTCAAAAGAACCTATCAAATTGCTCTTGGCAGAAATGATACCCACAAACCAGAATCAGAGAGCCTATTTCCACTCAGATCCATCTGCTATCTGGATGCAGGAGTACGAAAAAAAGTATCTCATACACAGTCTGGGTTTGAATGTCCTAAAAGACATTGTTAGTATTTTTTTTCTATGAACTTTGCCCATTTTCCTATTGAGATTTTGGTCTTTTTCTTATTAATTTAAAGGGAATACTTTTATGTGAAAGAAATCTGCTCTTTATATCATTTAAATTGCAAATATATTTCCCCTGTAACATTAACCTCTCAATCACGTTTTTAACTTTTGTCACATAGAAATTTGGTTAAGAATCATGTCATTTTTTTCTTTTTGGCTTTGTGGCTTTCAAAAGGCTAATCTCATTCTAAAAGGTTGTTTGGTTTTTGTTTTTTAAATTCTCCAATCATTTAAAATCCAAAAAGGAATTGCAATAAAACACAAAGTCAATCAAAAACTCATGATTGAAATTTTTTATTTTTTTGAGAAGGGATCTTGTTATGTTGGCCAGGCTGCTTCTAAACTTCTGGACTCGCGCAATACTCCCAACTCTGCCTATTGAGTGGCTGAGGCTATAGGTGAGCACCACCACAGCTGGCACTGAGTTTCTATTTATCACTGTTATGAGCTTGCAATGCAGTTATTGCAGAAGAGAGGCAGCCTGTCTTCCCTATGGCTTACTATGGCTTTCCTGGCACTTCTACAGCCGCAGCACAAAGTCTACACTTAATAAATACTTGGTAAATTAGTAATGTGTTATTAAAAAATAAGAGGAAACTACATAACAGAAATAACTTTGGGCACATAAGCATGTAAGATATTATCCCAGCCACTTCAAAAGGACCCTCTGAAAAACTATGGTAAAATACACAGAACATAAACTTCACCATCTCAAACATCCTTAAATGTTCATACAGTTTCTGAGCATCAGGTACACTCACACTGTTGTGCAATTTCTTTTCAGAACATCTTCCTGTATCCTAACTGAAAAACTACACCTGAGTTGAAATGCTACGGTTTGAATAAGGGTCAGTCCCTCAAATACTCATGGCATTTAAGAAACTGACCAGTTAAAGTCATTAAAATAGGGCACCCATGATCAATACCAGTAGTTTTGTAAGAGGGAGAGATCAGAGCACACATCTGCTCCCCACCTCTTGCCATTTTCAGACTCTGTGAGCAAGAAGGTCATCATCAGATGAGGTCTCTAGATCCCAGACCAGAACCATGAGCTGGTATAAACCTCTTTTCTTTAAAAAGCTACCAAACTCTAGATATTTCACTATAATAACCCAAAATGGACTGATATACTCATTAGAAATAACTCCCCATCACTTCCTCCTTCTGGTGTTGAAAATCACCCTGCTATTTTCTGCCCCTATGATTTGGACTCTCCTAGGCACCACATATATGTGAAATCATACTGTTTTTGTCATACTGTTTTGTTTTGGTGACTGGATTATTTCAATTATCATAATAATCTCAAGGTTCTATTTTTCTGACTTGTATCAGAATCTTCCTTTTCTAACATATTAAGGCTTCTGCCATCACACATTAGTTTAGCATTTGGGGAAATATATTTGGATATTTTAATTTTTGTTCAAAGATAAACATGTACAAACATTTTGCAAGCAGGGCTGAGGCATAATTAGCTCTATACTGTAAAATCCACAAAGCTTCTCCCTTATAAGATGTCTTATTCCAGATATTATAGCCTAAATGGTTGTAACAATTCAGCAGGCAAAATATGTCTGTCTGAGCAAATGTAATAAAAGAGAATAGCAGGGTATGTGACAGGTTCAGATTAGCTGCCTTACTAAGTGTGTTCAAATGCTAAAAATAAATTAAGAAAACATTCTGCTGGTCAACTAACAGCCCATTATATTATAACTAACAGTCCTACAATCCCCTTTCTCAGTTTGTAACCTCTATATACAGAATTTTTTTTTTTTTTTTTTTTTTGGCTACAAGTTCATGTTACTTTCAGATTGTTAGGGAATTTAACACTTGAATCTGTAAAATACACACACATATCTATATCTATCTATCTATCTATCTATATATATATACACATATATATATATATAACCCTGACAAATTAAAAAGTAACTTCAAAAATTGTTTAACAAATTAAAAGATTTCAAATAACTTTTTTATTATACTTCAAAAAGTATTAGCAGTCACATGGTTCTCAATCTAGCCAGATGTACAAACCATTTCCAAGGTTTTAGGAATCTTGCACAACTTAGTCATCAACTCTTTTCATTGGCCTTAATGCTAGAGGCACATGTTGACGATCCATAGCATCTGTGTTTTGAGAAATAGTACACTGTAGTCCCATTGTATCCTTGGATTCACTGTTCATGGGTTCAGTACTAAGAGGTCAACTCTAGGCTTAAAATATAGGCTAGAATATCAGGATGTCTTAAAAGGCAGACAAGTCACATTCACATAAATCTTTTTATAGTACACTGTGGTAATTTTTTTGTTGTATTGCAGACTATTATAGATAACCTATAAATTAAACTTTATAAGTATATTTGTATAGGAAAAAGTATAGTATATATAAGTACCTTAGTACCTTTCCTCAGCTCCAGACACCCACTGAGGGTCTTAGTATGTAACCAACTTGGATAAGAAGGGACCACTCTAGATGAGAATCGAGAGACACTTGAAAAACCTATCAAATTTTGTCATGTTAAAATTTCCTATTGGTTAGATTTTTTTCAAAAACTCTTATTAAATGAATTTAAGAGTCTGAAACCAATACTTGATAAGTTTTTATATAAGCTGAAATATCACCTAAGTTTTTTATTAGTAAATCACCATTCAGAGACAAGAGGCATGAATCTCAGGAAAAAATCTCAATATAATCATTTGATGTCACTCATTCATGAGTGAGATGTCTCCAAATGCTTAAAGCACATTCCAGATGAAAAATAACTCTCAAAGTTACACTGAATCTAAGGGACTTCTAAAACACTATTTCTTTATAACAGATCAGTGATTAACAATTTAAATGTTTTCCTTTCTCAGATGTCTTCTCTGCTTCTGCACCCTGGTTTCCTAGTACATCTACATAATGCCCATGGCTCAAGCAAGAGATTTCCAGGTCTACAACTACAATCCTAATACACAGCCTGCCTTGAACTTTGAGGCATTCTACCTTTCTAATACAAACATACTGGCATGTCCCTCACACAAATTCCAACATGCCCATAATTGAGTTATCTCCATCTCTTGTGTGTGTGTCTCTCTCTCTTCCTCAATGACCCCTACTCCTGTATTCCCTACTATCTAGGTGGGCTAGCCTGGTCTGTGAGCCCCTGGAGGAAAGTCATGGTTCTTACTTTTCTTTTCCTTAGGGTACAGCACAGTAAGAAGCACATAGTTCTCACTCTAAGCAACTAAACAAATAAATATTTAGAGACTTTCAAGCTATCAGCAAAAAAAAGTGAGAGAGACAAATGAATTAATTTCCTTTCTTTTCTTTGATAAGTTAAAAATACAATGTCACTATAGCTACTCAATAACCCCTTCCCTTGGTAACTCATTTAAAACCAGAGCATTTCAGGCATTGGGAAAACATTTAAGAGACATAAGTAACTCGATTTCTACTTATGTAGGTAGTGAGGGTGTTATTAATCATGTACACAATACTATTATTGCCCTCTCTAGAATTCCTACTGTCCTTACCTCCTGAGATTTCAAATGATGGGGGTCAGTAGATTTTGCCCACTCCAGATTTATTCTTCTGCCAGATAAAGCCACTACTCCCCAGGAAACTCTTCAAAGTGGACAGCCTAGATGTCTTGTTTCCACACATGACAAATGTCTCCTGGGCAATTAATATATATGCCAAGCACTATGAGGGCTTCTGGTAACATAGCATTGAACAAGATGGATAAAGTCCCTGCTGTGATGAAGACTAGGATCTAGTGAAGATGACCACAAATAGATATGAGAAAAAGAAGTGCAAAGTTTTATAGTAGTAGACAGGAGCATACTAGGGAGCTGGCAGAGAACAGAGTAGTTAGGACACAGTGGCTGCATGGAAAGTAGCTGTCAGTGACCAGCAGCCCTAAAGGAGAATGAAGCCTGCATGTGGTTAGTAACCCCATTCTGAGAAGGTGAAACTGACCATTACAGCGGATATTTAGGAATTTCTCTTTTCTTTCAGCAGATCACTTCCCTTCCCTGACAATGTCTTTTGCAGTTATCCAATGAATGCTGCCCCTTCTCTTCCTCCTAAGGTTTAGTCCCAGGTGATCCAATTTCGCCTTCATCCCTGTGAGATTTTTTGCTTTTTAAGGGAATATGTACTTTCACTTTCAAATAAGTGCTCTCCTCCATTTAAAATACACACACACACACACACACACACACACATATATATATATATTTTACAGATTCTACTTTAATACTCTTCTAACATATTTACTGTCATCATTAAAGTACTAGATGTAACAAAGAAAAAATTAAAGAAAACAGTGCAAAATCTATTGTTCTATAGAAACAGTACTGTTCAACTACATGAAATGACAGTCAGTCCTCCATACATGTAGATCTTGCATGAATGAATTAAACTAACCATAAATGGGAAGCATTCTTAAAAATAAAATTGTGTCAATACTGAATACTTAGACTTTTTTACCATTACTCCCTAAACAATACAACCATGTCCATAGTATTTACACTGTATAGGGTATTATAAGCAATCTAGAGATGACTTAAAGTATATGAGAAGATGTAAATAGGTTATATGCAAATACCAATCCATTTTATATGTGAGATTTGAACATGGATGAGACGTTGGTATCCTTTAGGGTCACTGGAACCAACTGTCCAAGAATACCGAAGGATAACTATACTCAGGAATTACTGTGGAGTCCCAGGCCAAGGAATGTATATATACACACAACATAAGAGTGGCCCCAGTGAGTACTGGAGGAGGGAAAGAGTACATACTAAGTTCTTTGGACTTAGCTGCGGGACAAAGGTGCTTGATTGTGGATGCATACCATCAGGCACAAGGTCAGGACTAAAGGCCGGGCAGTGCTAGGATGCTCAAGACAGATCTTGTTCCTCAACTACTTGGAGGACAGTTTGTCTATCTTTAAAGCTAAGGGATATTACTACTAAATTTGTCATATTTTAAGTGATGCTAAGTGAAACACACCCTTCAGGACATTAATATTTATCTCACGTGCTCAGTAGCTAAGAAAACACAACAGATAGTTAAAGTGCGTTTTACTAATAACAGTAAAATAATAACAATAAAATAATAATAATCTCCTTCCCTCTCTTTTCCTTTCCTTCACTCTTTCTTCTGCACCATCCTCTCAGCCCAATAATTCAATCTTTATGGAATACTGTAATAAGCACTTTCACACACCATTATACTCAATCCTCATGATATACCCCTTCAGGCAGTGGTAATAATCATAGGTACCAGGTGGAAGCATCAACAATGCTGCAGAAAAAATTAAAACAAAGATTACCTATTTATCATAAAGTATAAGTACCCACATGCCACACATAAATCTGCAATACACATACATTACATACATTCTCTTTTCAAATACCAGGAAATACTTTTCTTCATCATAAGCAACTAGGGAAAAAATTATAAAACAATAATCCCATATCTGTAATCACAGTATCAGAAGCATCCCAAATGTTTTCTGAAATAAGTCAGATATGCTATCCTGCAACAGCTTATGTACCTGGTTTTTCAAAGACCCAAGGAAGCCCAGATTTTCTGCCATCCGCTGAGCTTGGCTGTCCTTTATCCCTTCGAAAATGTCAATTGGCTCCTAATAAAAATAAATCAAATGAACAAAATTCATACAGTCAAATGAGAAGATTTACAACCTCAAAAAGAAATGCTTAATATTTATTTGCAAATGAGTAATTAAACTGTGGCTCCTTTCCAGAGATCTCTGAACAGGGCTACTGCAGCTGCCTATAGGGTATGTTTTAATTAGCAGACCATTGATGAAACAGCCCTTCCAAAAACTATATAATTCTTCAAGGTGGCATGCTGACAAGACGATGTGATGCCAGTTTTCACTTTTAATTACTATACAGATGGCACTGATGAATATTTAGTCAGTTAATTTTTATGACATGTTTTGGAAGCCTTCCAAAGAAGGTCTTTCTGCCTAATATTGCTAGTAAGTTTAGAGCTGTCATACATAGGTTAAACATTATCCTATGATTTAAACACTCTACTGATGACATTATTAATACTTTAGCTCTATAAAGTACCATTCTCAAAACACTGAATGCTACTTATACACATTATTTCATATATTCTTTTAACAAACAGAATTGTTTCACATAATGGTATTTTGAAAACAGGTATTATTGATAAGCATAGCTATAGTCTCAAACTTTCAAGGTAGTAATCTTATATAGATAACATTGAAGACAATATTTTTAAAACCAATCACCATTGTATATTACCTAGACAAAGAGATACAGGAAAATAAATTCCCCCTTTCCAAAAGGACACAAAATCACTTTCTAAAAGAAATAGTAAACATTTTTTTAGAAATTGTAATTTTTGATATTTTAGAACAGACTAAAAACAAATTATAGTTCTATAAATTTTATATTTTTTTCCTATAAAGTTAAGATAGGATATGGATTTCATACATATCACTTATTTAATCCTCACATTTCTGCAGGATAGAAATTACACCATTTTCATTTTCCCAATTTAAAAAAAGGGGGCTTAGGGTTAGTAAAAAACTTATAAACTAGTCAGATTTGACTATGTAGCTCTTTGACTACAGCTAGTCTTGAAAATGGGACAAGATCTCAGGAGAAAAACAAATGGACAGAATCTGGGTCTTGATTCTATTTTACTTGATAGTCTCTAGTTCAAATCCTGCCCCTTCAGAGGGAATTCTTTAATCATACATAGTTAAATGGGGTACAATTAATCCACAGGAAATGGAAGTATCACAGTATCTTCCCACTGGTTAACACTCAGGGCAGACTGGATTAAAAGGAATGACACAGGAAGGAAAAGAGAAGGAGAAAGGGCAAAGAAGGAGAAGGAAAAAGGGCAAAGAAAACAGCCCATGACTATTAACACTTTGATTCTATCCAAGTTTCTATTGGATATCCAGCAAGAAAAAGAATCAACATCTACTTTAAATCTCAGAAACAGAGGTATTGCGCTTAGGCTTAGACTCCACAATGACAGTCCATTACAAACAGCGTAGCCTGATATGTAGGCATACCTTAAAAATAAGTTCTGGATTTGAAGCGGCCACCTCTTCAATGTCAACGCCGCCCTGAGGGCTGCCCACCAGCACAGGGCCATTGCAGGCCCGGTCCATCAGAATCGCTAAATAGGTTTCTCTAGAAATGTCCAGGGCTTCAGCAATCATCACCTAGCACATTAGTGGGAAAGTCAAATTAGTTCAGCATCAGGTAAATTTCCATTTAGAAATCTGTACAAACTTATTCCACAAATCAAACAACTTCATTTTCAGCAAGTTAAACTAGTGAGTTAACTCACGGAGATATAAGGCTTCTTCTCCCATGGTGCACAATGCCCATTTTCACCTTCTAAATTGATCCTGTTAATTTTTTCAAATGATAAGAATTCGGTTTGCCACAAGGAACATTTTCACTTTAATCTTTTATTTTCCCCTTCCTTGAGAAACTGTTGTTTAAGAAAAACTCCAGGGAAGCAGCTATAATTCTAATTTGACCTATTAACATTACATATATATCACTAGACTGACTTTTCTCAGATTTCATTGGAAAATCAAATTTGACTATTAAAGAAAGGTTCTTTTACAGTACCTCTGATGTTTCATCTCTTTGTAAATTTTTATCTCTTGGATCACTGTACTTTACTTCACTTTATACTCTCTTTTAGTTTATAAATACAATACTTAATTGTTCAAAAATAATGCAGTATCTACCAAAAGTAAATATGCAAGGGAGTAAAAACAGCCAACTGATACACACCTGTCACATCTACTCTGCTGCCTAGGAAAAGGTATGTCTTCCTGGCTTCCCTTGGAGAAGGCAGTCACTAGCCAGGACTCTGGTTGCAAAAGGTAATGGGTAGGCTTCATTGACCTCTCACTGCCCCAGCCAAGTGCCCTTTACTCTCAAGTACCTGAGCAAATGCAGTCCCTTTTTTGTAACCCGTTTGCAAGCATTACAGGATAAGAATCATCCTACACATGGAAGCACGTTGTTTGTAAGATCTCTTTTTCTCCTAGGACTATTTAGTACATCTATGTTAATATTTAGCCATGTTCCGGCTAATGACTCCTCATAGTGAATTTCCATTTTTCTAATATTTTACCATAGTCATTATTATATTTTTCTGCATGTGTCTTTGCTCATTTTGCCTTTCCCTGTAAAGTGAGATAGTTAGGTTTAACTTCTGAATATTTATGAGTTTTGGCAAGTACTTACCAACTTGCCTTTAAACAAGAGATTATACACATTTACATGCCCAGTAAGAACAATGAAAAGTATCTTACTTCATTCTGACAAGAAAATAAGCACATTCATAAGTGATCAGTAAGATTTTAAAATAGGAACATTTTCAAGCCTAGCATGGTGATACATGCCTGTAGTCCTAGCACTTAGGAAACTGAGACAGGAGGAGGATCGCTGCAAGTTTGAGGCCAGCCTAAATTATACAGTGAGACCCTGCCTCAAAAGACAAAACAACAGCTAGGTATGCTGGCGCATGCTTTTAATCCCAGCACTCTGGAGTCTGAGGCAGGAAGATCTTTGGGAGTTCAAGGCCAGCCTGGACTACAAAGTAAGCTCGAGGCCAGCCTGAATTGCATAATGAGACTCTGTCTCAAAAAGACCAATCAATCAATCAATCAATCAATTGCTTTTCCTAAAAGTTTTTAATAAAAGGTTTCATTTGAAAAGTTATGAATTAAACGGCATTAGGTTTCAACTACTTAAAGGCCTCAAAATATTATGTTAGGTCACATCAAATAGTAAATATACACATACTGAAAAGTAAGTTCCATTATAATGAATACACAATCCCTCCCTTTCCAAACTTTTGTCGAATTTATCATCAGTTAAAAATAAAATATATGGGCTAGAGTCAGTAGTAGAACATGTACTTAACATGCAGTAGGCCTTAGGTTCAATTTCCAGCCCCAAAACTAAATAATAAAAAAGGCATTAAAAGGCAATTGTTTCTTAGCACATGTTGCTACAATCATCATAGAACTATCTGATTTCAAGGTGGTTGTCCTTTCAAAAATTGAAAGTGAAGTCACCTGTTATCATAAAATTCTCTCAGCTTTTGGGTAGCTGGGTACACAGTCAATACAATCTCTGAGGAATGGCAAAACACCAAAAGCAAAAATATGCATTTCTGCTATTTTCTGATCAAATATGATAGCAATGTGCATGAAAGGAAATAACATGAACTATGCCTTTGTACATTAATACATATTTTTGGAGAAATTAAGACAATCATTTTTTCTAAAGACTTTTTTAGAAGAATAGATGCTTTAAGGAATATGGCAAGCAAAAAATACAAAATGAAGAATGTGGGGTTTTGTGCTTTATCTGTACTATCATAAGTACTATTTACCTCTATTACAGTTCACTTATTAAATGAAATTTAATGACTCTCAGTAGTTATTCTTAGAAGAAACATAACACTATGACCCTTCCAAGAGTCTTATCCTTCATCTTCTAAAATGCTGACAGATGTGCTCTGTATTCCATCAATAGCTACTGTCTCCAACAGCTTTTGCTGTATCATTCCTTAAAAAATGTATCATTCTTTAAAAAAAAGTCACCAAGTAAATGACTAGTAGATACAATTCAAGAAATTTCACAGGAAGACTAGCTTTTTCATGTTGTTAATCCATTCCCAGGACTCCAGACGTCAAGAGATTTTTACCGATTAGTATAGAGAGATCTAATGGCCTCCACAAATATTGGTCTCAGGAGAAGGGGAGGGAGGTACATTTCTAAAGGGCTTCATCTGTGAGCTGCACAATGATGATTATCAACATCCTTTCTGTGGAGTCCTCTATTTGTACAAGTTTTAAACTTTCTTTTTTTCATAAATGTTACTACTTTGTTTAAAAACAAACCCACAAAATTTCATAATAAAAAAAGTAAAAGAATAACAAAATAGCTGTTCAGTATAAGACCTCATAAAAAAAAAAAAAGGATTCTTACAAACAGGAAACAAACACATCATAGCATAAAAAAAATTCATTTCAATGAACTATGAGAAACCAGTAGTATAAATGAAACAAATGAGAAGATATATTAAAATATTTTTGAAACAACCAAATAGGTAATTTGGGAATTATTTTAACTTTTCCCTACTTCCTATTTATTTGTCTTTATCTTGTTCTTTATACTGGTATTCTGAGTTTCTTGTAAGAAGCCATATGATATTTAATCTTGTCTTACTGATTTTAAATTAGGTTTTCAGGTTGTATCATTTACCTATGCTTCAAATTTATCTTTGTTTATGACACAGTAGAACTCTATCATATAATATCATGTTTTCCGTATGCATTCATCTGCTGATGGGTATATGTGCTGTTTCCAAGACTCAGCTATTCTCAGCACACTGCATTGTGCTGCGATAAACGTGAGTATAAATGAATCCTTCTACTATGCTCATTTCTTTGGGGAAGATACCTAGAAGTGGGGATACCTTGGCCTAACAGAATTCTAAGTTTAGTTTTTAGGGGATTCTCCACAGTGATGTCCATAGTGGTTATACTATTTTACAATCCTATTAATGGTGTAGAACACTTCTCTTTTTCCAATGTCCTGCCCACATTTGTTATTATTAGATTTTGTTAAGCTAGTCATTCTTAATGTGCTAACTGGTATTTCAATATATTTTTAATTTGAATTCCTCCAGTGATGTTGAACACAGTCTCATGTACTTATTGGTCATTTGTACTTCTGAGAAGTATGCATTCATTTCTATTGCCCATTTTTTGAGTGGAGCTCATATTTTGAGGAGTGATTCTTTCGAGTTCTTTATATATTCTACATGTTGTCTACGGTCTGAGGAATACCTGGAAAAAATGGTTTTCTATTCTGTAGTTTATCTCCATCAGTTGTTTCCAGTGCTGTGCAGAAGCTCTTTTTCTGATACAATCCCACTTGTTTATTCTTGGCATTATTTCTTGTGCCATTGGGGTTCTTTTCAAAACTTCCTTGCCTATATCTATGTACTCAAGAGTTTACCTAATTTATATTTTCAGCAGATTGTTTCTGTTTGAACATTTAGATCTCTGGTCCATTTTGATTTTAGTTCAGTACACAGAAAAATATATGGCTCTACACTCCATCTTCTGCATGTGGATATCCTATTTTCCTAGAACCATTTAAAAAAGGCTTTCTTTCATCTGGTGTACTTTTTGCCCCTTGTCAAAGATCAAATAGTCATATGTCCTTGGGGTTGTTTCTGCTTCTTCTATGCTTTTCCATTACTCACCATATCTGCTTTTGTGGCACTGTATGCTATTTTAATCACTGTAGTTTTATAGTGTAACTGCAAGTCTTAAGATTGTGATGTCACCTATTTTGCTTTTTATCTAAGACCTACACTATTCTTCAAGTCATCTAGTAGTTGTTGGATCCATTTTTAATATTCCTCTTGTTGTTTTTAAGATATCTCTCATTAATTAATCACTGATCACAACCTTGTCCTTAGATTTGACACTATCCTCAAACTGGTCATTTCTACTATCCACTCATTTTCAATTGAAATTTTAGTTCTTTTACTTCTGTTTGGAACTTTTGTATGGATTCTTTTCCTGCTGGGTGCTCATGTTAAGCATTTCTTTCTTTTGTTCCACTAGATTTTTATTAGTGCCTTCTCTAGATGGCCCAATCATTTTTTTTATTAGGGTTATTATCTGATTAGTTATATCTTCTTTAAATTTGCTAAGCACCATATTGAACAATTTTACCTTCATCGATAATCTTTCAGATCTTATTGCTGTGTGGCTTATGCTTTTTTTCTCCATCATGACCCATTAAACTGGTTCTGGTGAAATTCAGAGTTTATAGATGCTTTTTGTATTTCTATTATTTGTTTGCTTGTTTTTGTGCCAGAGTTTGCGGCTTTGTCCCAGTGCCTGGTTCTTTGGTAGTCTGCCCCCAGTATGTTTATGACCTATAGGCAATCCAGATATTGGTATACACAGAAAGCAAATTGACAGCAATAACTACAATAAGTTTCTGCCTTACAAATATTCAAATTGCAAACATTCACAGATGTACCATATCAAATTCACTTTTGTTGGTTTATGGAGGAATCTGACTTCCAAACAATTCTCTTGGAATGGAACTTGTTCATAATTTGGTGACTTACTGAATATTACCTTGGGTATACGAGTAAAGTCAACAATAACAGTGGCATCAAATATCAACTAGAAACAGACAAATCCTAAGATCTGCTCTCAACCAGAGCAAAAGGTCTGTAAGTTTTGTGAAGACAGTAAGGCTACCCACATATTGATTTTGGTAACTCAGTAATTTCTGGTAGATATAGAAAGAAGTACAAGACTCAAGGATACTACTAGATTAAATGCTATCTCCTTCATATTTTTTCCCTCGAAAAGGTTATATCCACTAACTACTGCCGCACACAACAGTATACAGGACCGGATCTCAGCATCCATGTGGATCTCTGTAAACACCCATTTAGCTTTCATGCCCTCCAAGCTTGTCTTCAAACATATTCTATCGCTTAGTCTCTAAAAGCAAGTTAACATTTTATTGCTGGAGTAAAACTCTCCTCTTGGATTTCAGTGTCACCTTCAATCAGGTCAGTCTTTTGGCTATAACTTCTGCTACTCTGAGCCACAGGAGGGATACAGCCCTGGTGTCAGCAGTATATAAAGAGCTCGTTCTTACTCACAGGGCCCACGAGGCATCAGTGTTGCTGTGGAGTCAGTTGTCTCACCCACTGGGCACATGAGGTTCTGATGTCTGCAGCAGGGGCAAGGTGGGGCCTTTCTCCTTTCCTACAGGGACTATGACTCCTTGGTACCTGTGGGAAAGGGTCTCTCTCCTTTGCCGATCAACGAGGTTAGTATCTGCAGTGGGAGTGACCCTATTTGACCACCAAATCTGTCCATTTCTTTTTTGAGTACCTTTCTATTCAAATTGTTGTCTGTTGACAAATGCCTGTGTACAAACTGTCTATAAAATAATTATGAAGGAATATGACTAAAAGACTATATTTTTAAAATTTTACTGCAGAGCAGAAACCAGTACTGTGACTCATGTGCCCCAGGATGAACAGTGCTACCTCAATTCCCTTTTCCTATCCCAAGCAACACATCACACATTGGCACAGAGTCAGAAAACAAGTGCAGTGTATGAATGCATGGGTGTGTTTAGCTATGTTTAGCATCTCAAGTAAACATAAAAATTAAAAGTTTCTGTAACACTGAGACTTTTGAGTTTGAACAGATGGTACAGAAATACATTTTCCCTTAACACCTTAGTGTTAGCATTTGTTCTAATACAAATAAAACCTTGGACCATAACATAGATAGATAAATAACTTAAAATGACTCAAAGTTATAAAGACGACAGACTAGCTAGCTTGAAATACAAGGCAGGACGTGGTGGGAAGTCCCCTCTCTCTTCCTTTTGTCTCATCAGTCTTAAACCTGATGCTGGAGGAGCTGGCGAAACAGCAATCCCAACAAGAAGAGAGAAAGAAATCTCCAGGTCCACAATGCTTCACTAGAAAAAGTTACCAAGCATTTAGAATGGAATTAACAGCAACTTTAAGGAACATGTAGGACAATGAAATTGAGGTTCCAGTGCCACTATTAACTGCTATTGAAAAAAAAAAAAAAAAAAGAGAAGTAATAGGTGTGAATCTAACAACATCTATGCCAACCTTATATAGTACACAGAGAACTACCCAATAATGATGAAAGGAATCAAGTCAATCCACCTAAAAGAAGAGACACACTGTATTAATGGACTGTGAGACAATATAGCAAAGACATCAATTCTCTTTAAACTGATATAAAAGCTTAACAAAATTCTTAGCAAGATTTTTTATAAATAAAGACAAGATTATTTTAAATTGTTTATAGGAAAGCATAAGAACTGAAATAGATTAAAGTGCCTTAAAAAAGAATAAAGTAAGGAAATTAGTATCCGCACCTTCGTAACTTATGTAGCTATAGAAATTAAGATTGTGTAGTGGTAGAAAGATAAACAAATATACCAGTGAAAGGGAAAAAAGAACCCTAAAACAGGACCAAATAAATATAACTAGTGGACTTTCAACAAAGTTGTCAATGCATTTTAGTAGGAAAGATAAGTCTTTTAAAAAAGTATTTCAGAAATAAGTGAACATCCACAGGTGGGAGAGGAGCCTCAACCTAAGTCTATCATTGTATACAAATTAACCTAAATTTGAGTACCAACTTGAATAGATATATATAAAAAATTTTAGAAAAAAAAAAGAGCAAATCTTGTTACTTAGGGTTGGATATAGAGTTCTCAGATCTCATTCCAACAGCCCAACAATTCATAAAAGAAACTCTGATGTACTTCACTTCATCAAAATTAAGACATTTTGTAAAACATAACATTGAAGATCAGGAATATATGAATTTGTAACAGGAGAAAACATTTGAGAAGCACACTTCAAACTGACCAGCATCTAGGATAAATCTCAGAACTCAGTAGTAATAAAATACATAATCTAATTGGAAAATAAACAAAAGACACTGTCTTTTACTATCTGTGCTACTCAAACAAATTACCAGAGAGTACAAAGAACAAAAACTTAAGCCAAATGGTTTTTGGTATATACTTGCATCTGAGACACTTAGAAGGCAGAGGTACAAGGATCACATTTGTTAGTTAGTTAGAGGTCACCATGGGTAACAAAGTGATACTCTACCTCTAAATGAATAACAACAATAACAATAAATTATTTTTTCACACAGTTTTGAATTCTAGGACATCATTATCAAGGTGCTATCACTCTAGCTAGTGAGTGCTCTTTTGCTGCATCCTCACATGTCAGAAGGCAGAGAGACAAAAAGGTCTAAGCTAGTTTTCTTCAGCTTTTCAGAAGGCACACAAACCCCTTCACGGCAGCAGAGCCCTTGTGCATTCTCAAAAGGTCCTATCTCTAATGCCACAACAATACGAGTCAAGTTTCAGCATAAATTTTGGAGGGGACATTCAGACCACAGCAGGCATAAAGAACAATTCACCAACGACAATACACAGATGGCAAGTAAGCAAATAAAGATGTTTAACATCTTCAGCTGCTAGGGAAATGCAAATTAAAATCAGAATGAAATATCACAGCACCCCTATCAGAATGACTAGAATAAAAGAAAAAAATACCACTACCAAATGCTGCCTAGAATGGTTATTCATGTACTATGAGAAGTTATGTAAAATAGTACAGTCCCTTGAGAACATTTGTCAATTTCTGAAAAGATGAATCACTCAACTAAAATATAACTCAACAGTATCTCCCTGGAAATGAAGATGTAACATTCACACCAACATCTGGTTACAAAAGGATGTAGAGTGGTTGAAACAACCCAGAAGGCCTTCAACAGATGACAGTTAAACAAACTGTGGTACATCAGTATTACAGAATGCTACTTAGTATTAAAAAGGAACAAACCTCTGAAACAAGAACCTCAATGAATGTCTACAAAATTAACCTGATTGGGGGGTAAAAAAAAATAAAAACAAACTTCCCAAAGGTTATGTAATACTATTTGATTTCATTTATGCTACATTTTAGAACTGTTTGTGTTCTCTCAGATTGCTATGTTGAAAGATAATATCCTATGTGATGGTAGCTAGAGACAGAGCTTTTATAAGGTGATTAGATTGTAAGGGTGGAACTTGAAAGAAAAGAACTTATTCCCATCTGAAAAGGACCCCAGAAAGATCCCTCATCTCTTCTCCTATGTGGGAATAGCAAAAATCTTGGCATTGTACGGATCTTCACCAGACACCAATATGCTGGTGTCCAAGTCTTAGATTTCACAGCCTCCAAACTATAAGAAAGAAATTTCAGTGGTTTATAAGCAACTCAAATTGTGATATTTTTTTATAACAGCCTGAACAGACTATGAGATACGCATCGAACATCGCCTATCTTAAGTTTCTAAGCCAGTATTAACTTAATCTGTAAAAATTCTTTCTAACAGGTTAATTATTATTACACCTGTTTAAATGTTGGCTCCTAAATGTGGAAACACTTACACACAAAAAGAAAAAGACTTCAGCCTGAAAACATCATATCTACATCCCAGAAATGAGCACTATGCCTGGCACATAAAATAAGCCCAAAATATCCTTCTTAACCATATAAGCAAATCTATCCTAGTTCTCACTCTTAGGATTCACATATTATAAATCCTTAAAAGTTTATCCTTGCTCTTTCAAGCTGCATAGTAAATACTAAGTGATGACTTTTAATCCCTGACTCCAGGTCAGTTCCTCCTCTTTCAACCCAATGGCTCAAGAAAGATGGAGTGTTCACTGAATATCCTGGGAAACAAAAATCTGGATGAGACTGTTACTTTTGTTGCAATACTCAATAGACTCTGTGTGCATTTTGAATTTTTTTTTGACATTTTTTTTTATTTAAAGAAAAGGAAACAAAAAAAATACATGGAGATTAAAAAAAAGGGTTAGAAATAATACAAAATTACAGAAAAACAAACGGTAAGAAATTGCTGGTTGATAAGTTACACATTGTCATCTTAGAAATAGCTGTTCAGGTTATAGAATTAAAGTATTTAGAATGACATTCAAAAAGTGACACTACAAACCATTCTGCTCTATGATTAAACAAAAGCTCAGTAATATGGTTATCAGTCCTACACATTTGTTTTACATCTCAAAGAGGGTAAGATTAAACATATCAAAACAGAACAAAACAGTTAAAAAAATTAAAGAAATACAGATTTCAAAGCAAGTCCACTGGAGATCTTCCCTGTCTATCTAACTGTCTCTAGTTTCTTACAAATAGTTGTCCCCATCTTCATCCACTTTATATACTTATTGCATATTATAGAACTAATCAAATCATTACAGGATGATGAAGGCGTTTTAGATCCTCAAGTTCCAAATTAGGGAAGACAATAGTAACTACCATCCCATCTCTCATTCTCTTTGTGATAGCTGTCCCCATCTCTACATATGCTGAAATTGAACTCAAGAAACCAGCCCAATGTCATTCTAATCAGCGAACAATAGTATTGCTAGAATTTATATCATAGTGCTTCTGAAAATGAAGGACAGGGCCATTATCATGGCTAAAGCCCCCACATATCAAAGTATTCAAACATTCAGTGCTGATTTCACTAAAAAAAAAAAAAAAAAGTGTATCAATGGGTGCTCAGTAAACCATTATACTTATTCACAGAAATACTATGCCTCCAGCAAAAAAAAAGATGAAACCATATGGATTCACATGGATAGAAGCCTAAGGTTCTGTAAGCTAAAAAATGCAGTCTTTAAATTTGTATGTAAAATGCTGTGGTTATAGACACATGAGGAGACAATTTGCATTTTAAAAGAACAAAAGTAATATATGACAATTAGGGTGAGGTGATAGCACAAGAAACTTTTATTTTTCTGAATTTTATATTTTTGTACAAATGGAATTTTTTATGTGTTAAAGACTTCTGCAATCAGAAAACTATTTAAAAATAAATCACGTGTAATTTTCTAGCAATGACTCAATTTACAAGAATGCACTTCCCTCCACTATTTCAAGAACAAATCTACAAAACTAATTCTTTATAGGACTCCATTACTATATAGTGTGAATCTGCTTTGTGTGTTCATTTTTATATACATTAAAAAGTACCACAAACTCTAAAATCCCATGTGGCCACATAAAACACAGTTTCTACAACTAAAAATACTAATTATTCCCTCTGTAAGCAAATTTTCAGTGAGTCCCACAGATAAAGCATAATAACCAGATTTAAAGGGTAATAAAAGTAGTTCAGGCTAAAGAACAAATCAGTTTTAAACGGTTCTTACACCACCAACAGGGCAGCAGTAGAGGGACATGACCAACAGCAGCTTTCTTCTGCTTCCTTAACATTTAGAGAGGTTTAGTGAGATGGAGCTCAGGACGTGTCAGGATTCCAGTGTTCCTCTAGCTTAATGCCCTTGTATGGGTGTTAAGGTAGATATTTTCACAGTATACTAGCCAGTGACTATTTTTAAATCATGTCAAGAGTTTTCCACAAAATTCTTTCTCTGAAAAGTGTAAACAAAAAAAATACCACTTCAGTGTCCAAGAAGCATAGCACAATGATAGAGAACATTGATCTGTGTCAATAAAATAAACAGGTGCTTACCCCTAAGAGTGGGGCCCTACTGGAACAGGAGCTTCTAACCATGACTCCTAGGTCTGGTATACAGGATTTACAGATGGATCCTATTTTTGAACCCATTTTCACTATAGATGTCTTGAAATTTGAACAAGGGTCCCTTCTTGCTACTTTACACTGGGTCCTGCAAATGAAGTAGTTGGTTCTGTTGCTTCCATGCAAGGAGACTGCATGGGTGAGAAACCTGGCAAGAGAGGCAGATCGTGGCATCAGCTCTGCCATTCAGAAGTTCATAGTCAAGGCAAGTTTCTCAGAGTTTACTTTGTGTGTATATGCTGTGCATGTGGGTATACACATGTGTACAACCCTATCCACAAGTGGGTGCCCCAGCAGACTTTAATACAACATACTTCAAGTGTGGTGTATTAGTAACTGGTGATCAGCTTAAAACACCAAGCTGAACTTAATCAGTGTGGGTGCTAAGTGTAGATGGCCCATTGGAGGACTACTGTCAGCATAAAAAGAGACTGATAGAGGAAGAGTAGCATTATGGATTCTAAGTGTTGCTGTTTGGAGCTGTTGGCTCTTCTGGAGGAGCTTCCCATGCTAGCTCCCCTGATATGAACTCAGCTGTTATCATCGGAGGAATTCAGAACCTTGTTGTTCAGTGTTATGGATTAAAATCTGGTGGTGAACTTAATACCAGCTGAACTAAATCAGCATGGTGCTGGGTGTAGGTGGCACACCTTTGATGAAAGTTGCCAGCATAAAAGGAGACATGGAGAGGAAGAATGCGGCATTGTGGGTTCGCAAGTGTTGTTGTTTGGAACCACTTGTTCTCCTGGAGGATGGATCTTGTCATGCTGTCTTCCCCAGTATGAGTTTGGCCATTATCAGAGGAGCTCAGAACCTTGTCACTCAGAATGGCTATGGTTCACTTTGGAGAAGCCCTGGTCCTTACACTGAGCATTGCTTCCTGGCTCTGGAGGGGAAGATGTGTGCTGTTTAATCTTCAAGAGGTTTGTTGCACTGGTTGCATGATACATACTGGAATATTATCATCACTGGAGGAGCTCAGGACCTCATTGTCACTGAGGATGGCTGTGGTAATTTTCAGAGGAGCCCTGGTTCTTTTGTTTGTTTGTTTACCAAGGATCAAACTCAACCTTGCACATGCCTGACAAGTGCTTATGCCAATGAGCTAAATCCCTGGCCCCTGAACCCTGGTTCTTATATTGAGTGTTGCTTCTTAGCTCCAGTGTAGAACCCTCACTCAACCTGTTGGAACAGATCCTTCATCCTCCTGGCGTAGACTTTCTAGCTTCCACCGCTGATCTCTGGGGTTTCCCAACACAGATCCATAAAACAGACTTGCATGAGTCATTTGTCATGGGCACTAGACCTCTAGTTGGACTCATGGGGGAGGTTGTCACGGGTTCAAGGTGGTTTTAGCTGGACTCACACAGGACATTTACTGGGGCATCCAGGCCCTTGCCTGGATTTTTTAGGTCTTTAGTGCTGTGGACAGATTTTCTTCACTTTCTTGTATTTAACTCCAGGTGATCATCATAAAGTAGTATTACAAATTCTGTGTGCTGTATATAATTGTTGTCCTTGCAACCCCTGACTACAACACTGAGAATGGCAATGGTTCACTTCAGGGGAGGTTTGGTCCTTACTTTGAGTATCCCTTCCTTGCTCCAAAGGGAAGATATATACTATTTAATCTCCAGGAGAAGCTTATAACACTAGCTTCCAGATATGTACTTCACTGTTCACTCCATTGACTTTCTAGCTTCTACCACTGACCTTTGGGGCTTCTCAGCACAGATCTGTAAAGCAGACTTGCATGAGTCATTATAGGCTCTGGGCCTTCAGTTGGACTCATGAGAGGAATTATCACGGGCTCTAGGTTTTCAGCTGAATTCATGAAGGTTAGTGCAATAGGATCTAGGGCCTCAGTTGGATTTTCCAGGTCTTTAGTATTGTGGACAGGTTTTTCACACTTTCTTTATATTTGACTTGTTGGATGACCATTATAAATACAATACTATAAATTATATGTCCTATATATAATTGTTCTCCTTGCAACCCCTAACTACAACACCCAGCAAAAAAGGTAGCTCAGAATCTTAAACTATGATATAGGGCAGTGATAGTGAATGTTTCAGAGTTTTCAATGATAAAACCATTCTGCTACAGCACATGTGCCATAGGTTCACCACAGGTTTAGGGACACTTAAGAAAAGCACAAAAGGCAATTGTGATAATCAGGACTGAAAGTGGGGACAAATGGTGGAGGATATGCTCATCACTTAATATAAGGCCTTCTTACCAATCCCTTCACAGCTTTAAAGGATGCATCTGCGTTCTGAATGAGAAAAGTACTGTTCACGTACCCCTACTCACTTTTACAAAATGCAAACAATAATAAAATACCAGAAGTCTTTTGATTTCTCCTCAAAGGCACACCCACCATTTGCTAAACAGATCATGTGAGGCTTAAATAATTAAATGGCAAATTGCCAAAGAGCAATGCTTCATTAGATGCTGTCAAAACTGAAGTATGGTTTTCTTCTAATTTTTTAAAAACACATATAAAGAAAATGATCAAAAGCATCCATATTACCTTGTTAACTTTCACACCTTCTTTTGGAGTTTGTTTTGTTGCTAGATTATACCCAATCATCTGTTTAGCCAGCTGTCCCACAACATTGGGGCTGAGAGGAAAAAAAGAAAAATCAATGTTGGTTGAAAATCATTTTCAGTAGAGTCTATGCACCCTCATGTCTACACTGCAAGGCCCATCCCCCACTCCCAGAACTCAAATCTTTCCACTCATTACTATGTGCCTAGCGCTGTGCTAGAGTTGAGAGCAAAATATAGAGTAAATGAAAGCCATAAATATAAAAATTTGTTTTCTGATCTCTGCATTGTTCACTCCCTTCCACATTAGTTACAATCATCACAAAGAGACATTGCAGAGATATACAGCAGATTTAGATAAAACTTGAGTAAATATTTGAGAGTGGACAATTTGGGAAATACAAAAGGATGAGAGGAATAAACAAGATAAAGATTTAAATAAAAGAAGGATGCGTAACACAACCACGGATAAGAAGAATAAATGATCAGTGTTGGGAGATAACATTGAAGACAGTCTCAGAGGAAAGCAGGTATAAACTACTGGGTGAGAGGATCTGATGTTACTGGTAATATGGAGCTACTCTAGGAGCTTTAACAGAAATGACATAAAGCATCATTTCACTCACAAGTAGTAGTATTTCAAACATTTATGATGAACTGCTTATTGTATGAGAAAGAAATATAAAATTTCTACCAATTAGGGAAGAACAAACCTTTTAAGAAAGCAGAAGGAAACTACGTCGTTCCTGGAGCCCTCTACAGATACTATTTCCTCTATTTGTTATGATCTGCTCCTACACCTCCCTCCATACAACCAGCACTCCTCACTAGGCCTCTCAATCATGAGCAAAACCCTCTACATTATGTGGCTCAAAAACAAGGAATTAAAACTCTCAGACTTACTCTTTTGTTAAATGAACACCTCCCTTCAGGCCACTATTGAAGACACCTTTTCCTCTTCCTCCAGCTAAGATCTGGGCTTTCAAAACAATCTCTTTTGCATCTGAAAAAAGAAGAGTTGGTAGCTGATTTTAAATTCATTTTCCTCTTTTTTTTATAAGGAACAAAGAAAGCAGTAATGATATATAACTTCCAAATGCCAGGTAAAAGTGTTCTCAAATCAACTTTGAAAATAAAAGCAATAAAGAACTTCAAAAATCATCAGTGTGCCTAAGTACAAAGTTTGCTCAACAAGAATACTCAAAGCTTCCTACCTGTTTAATCAGCCAATACTCAAGTGCCCCAAGAGATGGCATGTGCTCCCTTACGCTTTTGAGTGTGTCAAAAGATGCTAAGTAAACCCAGGATGGCAATATTAGTTTTACTGTGTAATGACAATACCATGTGACAGGAACACCAATCCACCAGCCAGAGGAATTAACTACCTGTCAGCCATGGGACATGTGAAAGGAAAGACCAGGAAGAAAAGATTTCAAGACGAGACACAAAGGCCACATTTAATAACTGTATTCTTTGGATCCAACAGTTTTCAGTGCAGGTGTTCTACAGATTGACAGCACTGGGCAAGGGCAGAGGAAATGAAGAAATGGATAAAAACCGAAACCTAACAATATTTTTTTAATATTGGCACGATAAGAAAAAAAAATCCTTGGGGAACATGGTTGTGGAATATCTGTTTTTCATACTCAAAGACAGAATGAGAACTGTCTATTCTTGACCTTTTAGAACAGTTATAAACTCAAGTCTCTTTATGAGTCTAGCAGGGAAGCTGGGTGTATGAAACAATCCAGTGATAAATGAGACATCTGGCAAACAGAAAAGCTGGGAAGAAGGGAGGCAGAGAGGAAAGAAGAAAAGAAGGGGAGAGGAAGAGACAGGAAAAGGGGAGAAGGCAAACCGGTGAGAACACTAAATGAAGTATGCTTAATAAACCAAAAAAATGTACATCTTCAAAGGCCATGTTTATTTGAGTCACATTTGGTTAAAATCAGAATCTTCTATAGGGCTGCTATAGCTTTCTGGTTGAGCTCACCAGATTAAGCATCTTCAGATCCAGGTCTCAGTGCAACCTTTATTTCTCACTTATACAGTATTAGGCAAGTCTCTCGAGACTCAGTTTCCTGAGTGAAAAGATGGTAAGCGTTGTTTTAAGAAATGAGGTAAACCATAAAAATGTGTTACCCCTGATTCTGAGAAAGCATATGTATTATTAGTCACTTCCTTGATCAATTAGTTAATTTATTTGCATATTGTAAAGAATCAAAACAATCATTTCAGAGATGGTCAAAGAAACCCTAACATTTACTAGTATCTCCCATAACTCATATATAATGAGAAATCTCTAAATCATTGGCTATTTCAGCTATCATTGTCACTCCATCCATGTTACTCATAAGCACGCTGAAAAGGTCAAAACTGGAAGAACCATAAAAACTATTATCCTGCAGGTAATGAGCTACAGGAGGATTTTAGTACTAACTCAGAAGGTCACTGACACATCACAACTCAGTCACAGTCTTCATGAGTTGGTCTTCTTCTCTGCTGTATGCATTTATACTCAGTAAAACAGGATTACCTTTCTCTTAGAAACACAGTTCCTTCTTAAGAGTACAGTCTTCTACACACTTGGACAATATATGCTTTAAACATAAACCACATCATCAGTTAACATGACTCGTGATAAATAAAGTGGTTCCCATCAACCTGAGTTTAAGACAAGCTATGCTCACTCCTCATTATCAGAAACTCACTACAAAAAGGACCAGTTAAAATGAATTTACTGGCAGGACATGGTGGCTCACACCTGTAATCCCAGCACTTGAGAGGCTGAGGTGGGAGGATCATTGTGAGTTTGAGACAAGCCTGGGCTACAAAGTGAGCTCAAGGCCAGCCTGAACTGCATAGGGAGACCCTGTCTCAAAAAAGACAAAAAAAAAAAAAAAAAAAAAAAGAATTTACTGTATATTTGGGCTAGTATGTGCAAAAAAAGTAGTAAAAGTACAGAAAGTGGAGTTAGAAATACTTGGGCTCAGTATTGAGTATTTGCCTTGCCTGCATGAGGTTCTGGAGTTCACTGCCACTACTGCAAGCAATCAAACAAGAAAAACCCTCCAACTCAAATACCTCTCATTTTCTGTATTAAAAAAGACTGAGATTCAGAAAGGTAAAAGTAGCATGCCTCTGTAAAGAGGTCAAATCTAGACCATTATGATACACTGAAATACAGTACTTAGAATGATTATTTCAATTCCTTGTACATTAAAAAAACAATTACAATATAACTATCATCATTATAGTTAGTGTCAGCTGAAGACATCTCTAATTTGTATCTGGAGGGCATCAAGTGTAAAAAAAAAAAAACTTTTTTCTGTCTACTCAAATGTTTAACTCTAATAATTTTAAATCTTTTCAAAAGCTAACTAGCATTCCATTGTCACTATCATTTTTCATATCTTTGCCATCCAGGGAAGAAGAGATGCTTTCCTATCCAAGCTCTGCAACAGTACAATTTAGAAGCCAGACAGCACACCTAATTGGGCATCACTAACCAGCACTACATAGGCTGTGATCAGTTCTGGTTACTTACTATCAAGACACAGAAATGGTTGTAGCCTCAATAAAGAGCTTTCAATTACTCTTGTTACCATCTGACTTCATCTCAAATAGATTCCATAACATACAAGTAATAACCAGGCATGTGGCCCTGGACAGCTAGCAATGTGTCCCTACAAGAACTTAACTTTTAACAGTATGAGATTTGAGGTGATATTGTTCACAACTCCATTGCACAGAGCTTGAGGGCAGACTGTGTGATGAAAACCTATGTGTGTTAGGAGTTTATCTGTACCTCTACCTATGTGGCTTGGCAAGTAAAACAGTGATTCTTAATACAGATATGTGTGTACCTGTGAAGACAGGTGTTTAATATTATTACGCAAATGTATGCATTTTCTTACTTAATAAATTTGGGTTTATGATTTTGTTCAATAATTTAGTAAGTTAAAATATAAAACAGAGCTAGGCATGGTGGCACATGCCCGTAATCCCAGTACTCAGGAGGCTGAGGCAGAATGATCACTGCAAGTTTAAAGACAGCCTGAGCTACATAGTGAGACCCTGTCTCAAAAGAAAAGAAAAACAGAAGGAAAGAATTTCATTTATATACATTAATTGTATTATATATTTATATGCAGCCCAAGAAAATTCCTCTGTACTCAAGGCAGCCTAGATACACCAAATGGTCAGACATCCATGTGGTAGTCACCAGGCAAACACTGTGGACAGTGAATCTATTTATTAGGTAACAATTCTGCTTTACTTTTATTGCAGTGTTGGGGTTGAATTCGGGGCCTATCTTCTGCAAGGCAAGTGCTCCACCACCCTAGTCCCACCTATCAGTGGGAAGATTATCTAATCTCTGCATATCTTTGGCAACTTAGGTTCCAGGTCAAAAATAAGTTCACAAAAATAATCTCAAGTACTAAATCACTATAGCAATGAGAAGCCAAAATAAAGCAAGTTTCCTCCTCTTGAGGAAACTGGTCACAAAGTAATTTAATTCAGATTTACTCAAGGTGATAAATATTAAGAAAAGTAGCCAAATCTTGTACAACAGTAACTAATCTCTTCATTGAGTACTTACCAAAATTGATTCCATTTAACATCACTGTTGCTGTTTTGTTTATAGATCAGATTTCTCCAAAAACTCAAATTTCCCCCTTTTAAAAACATTATCTCGTGTTATCCGAAAGTTATAAAAGAATGCCCATTTAAGAAATTCAATGTTCTTCTCATGATTTGACTTAACATATTTTAGGATAATAAGCTAAAGAGAAAGCAGGAAATCTTACTCTAATGAATTGTACAAAGAAATATATTACACCTACACATTAATAACCATATTATTGGATTGTGCTTGCTCTTAAATGCTACTCTTATGTGTAGAAGCCTAAGTACGTAATATATGCACTGTATTTTGTTCCTTTTCCATTGAGTTTCTGATAATAGACAGTATGTACTCCTGGTCAGGTTTCCAGTGCTTTAGATTCTCAAATATCATATTACTTTAGAAAACAATTATTTAGGGCCATTTAGAAACCTAAACAAAACCTTACACGTAGTCATATTTACTCTGATGTTTTGTAAATGTCTGCCTCTCTTTTTTTTAACCATAAATGTTATTCTAATACAATTCTATGCTAATTTTTAGCCTCCCATATCTCACACTACATAGCAAATATTCTTGGATACACTATTAAATCTAATGGAAAAAAGTTAAATTCATTAAAAGCACAACAAAGAATAAATATGTTTTTAATCAAGCAAGCTTTGTAAAAATGATTTGCTTGGTGTTTCAGAGATGATACTCTGAAAATACATTTATGCAAAATAATGTTCATGAGACATAGTTCAGAATCATAGTCGAGACCACAATAATTGTGTGAGAACATAAATCATGAGTATCAAGAAGTTATTTTTCCACTACCATTTTGAAAACAGTTTACTGATGAATCAAGTATTTGTATAACCCAACTGGCTTTTATTCAGCATTGCTCTCACAAAATATAATACTTTCCAAAATGCAAAATATAGCACTATGTACATGACATTGTGGTGAGATTACTACCACAATGATCATCTATTTCAAGTCAGTAACATTGGACTTGTTGAGGAAACTAATTTCTATGGTTCACTGACTAGAGCAAAATTGGAATATCTAGTTTTCAGCAGAACTGCTTTGTGTAATTTCTAGCATGGCAATTACCTTTCATCAGATTTGATAGAATCCTAATTGAGACTGTTAAAATGTATTTCAGATTTACCTATTACCAGAAGGCAAACAGAACGGAGAGCAGGAAGGCAAGAGAAGACTTGAGAAAGATATTACAGAAAGATGAACTTTCATAAAAGAACATAAAATTATAGGAGATAAGTGAGAGGCCTAAATGCCAATTTCCCAAAGGAAATGAACTAACTTAGGTACTTTCATTATGATTCCTGAACCCAAACTTCAAAATAGTCAATATTCAATTGTTACTATAG